TTTTCTTTTCCATCCCTTACATATTATAGTTCATCATGAAGCCTTTATAGCTTGGTGGCAGTGATTGAAGAACTCTTTCTATTACACTATCATCAGGAAGATTAACTCCCAGTTGAGTCAAGTTGTTATGGTACCCAGACATTCTCGGTATGTGTTCACTGACAGAACTATTTTCCTCCATTTTGCAGCTGTAGAACTTGTTGGAGACTTCATATCTCTCAACTCAAGCATTTGCTTGAAATATTAACTTCAACTCCTGGAACATCTCATATGCTCCATGACATTCAAAACATCTTTGAAATCCTGATTCTAAGCCGTAAAGCATGGCACACGTCCGGAGTTGCTCCTGCACTGGGTCTTGCACCTAGCGGTGCTTCCATGACGTAATTCTTTTGTGCAGCAATGAGGATAATCCTCAAGTTACGGACCCAGTCCGTGTAGTTCCTACCATCATCTTTCAACTTATCTTTCTCTAGGAACGCATTAAAATTCAAGTGAACGGTAGCACGGGCCATTGATCTATAACAACATAGATATGCAAAAACTATCAGGTACTAAGTTCATGATAAATTAAAGTTCAATTAATCATATTACTTAAGGACTCCAACTTAGATGGAAATCCCTCTAGTCATCTAAATGATCACGTGATCCATATCAACTAAACCATGTCCGGTCATCACGTGAGATGGAGTAGTTTTCAATGGTGAACATCACTATGTTGATCATATCTACTATATGATTCACGCTCGACCTCTCGGTCTTAGTGTTCCGAGGCCGTATCTGCATATGCTAGGCTCGTCAAGTTTAACCTGAGTATTCTGCACGTGCAAAACTGGTTTGCACCTGTTGTATGTGGATGTAGATCTTATCACACCCGATCATCAGTGGTGTCTCGGCACGATGAACTGTAGCAACGGTGCATACTCAGGGAGAACACTTGTACCTTGAAATTTAGTGAGGGATCATCTTATAATGCTATCGCCGTACTAAGCAAAATAAGATGCATAAAGGATAAACATCAAATGCAATCAAAATATGTGACATGATATGGCCATCATCATCTTGTGCCTTTGATCTCCATCTCCAAAGCACCGTCATGATCTCCATCATCACCGGCTTGACACCTTGATCTCCATCGTAGCATTGTTATCGTCTCGCCAACTATTGCTTCTACGACTATCGCTACTGCTTAGTGATAAAGTAAAGCAATTACATGGCGATTGCATTTCATACAATAAAGCGACAACCATAAGGCTCCTGCCAATTGCCGATAACTTTTACAAAACATGATCATCTCATACAACAATTTATAGGTCATCACGTCTTGACCATATCACATCACAACATACCCTGCAAAAACAAGTTAGACGTCCTCTACTTTGTTGTTGCAAGTTTTACGTGGCTGTTACAAGCTTCTAGCAAGAACCGTTCTTACCTACGCATCAAAACCACAATGATTTTTCGTCAAGTGTGTTGTTTTAACCTTCAACAAGGACCGGCCGTAGTCAAACTTGATTCAACTAAAGTTGGAGAAACAGACACCCGCCAGCCACGTGTGTGCGAAGCACGTCGGTAGAACCAGTCTCATGAACGCGGTCATGTAATGTCGGTCCGGGCCACTTCATCCAACAATACCGCCGAATCAAAGTAAGACGTTGGTGGTAAGCAATATGACTATTATCGTCCACAACTCTTTGTGCTCTACTCGTGCATATAACATCTACGCATAGACCTGACTTGGATGCCACTGTTGGGGAACGTAGTAATTCAAAAAAAATTCCTACGATCACGCAAGATGTATCTAGGAGATGCATAGCAATGAGAGGGGAGAGTGTGTCCACGTACCCTCGTAGACCGAAAGCGGAAACGTTTAGTAACGCGGTTGATGTAGTCGAACGTCTTCACGATCCAACCGATCCAAGTACCGAACGTACGGCACCTCCGTGTTCAGCACACGTTCAGCACGATGAAGTCCCTCGAGCTCTTGGTCCAGTTGAGGACGAGGGAGAGTTACATCAGCACGATGGCGTAAAGACGGTGATGATGAAGTTACCGGTGCAGGGCTTCTCCTAAGCACTACGACGATATGACCGAGGTGTTAAACTGTGGAGGGGGGCACCGCACACGGCTAAGAGATTGTCTGTTGTGCCTTTGGGGTGCCCCCCGCCTCTGTATATAAAGGGGGAGGAGAAGGTGGCCGGCCAAGGAGGGTGCGCCATGAGGGGAGTCCAACCAGGATTCCCAATCCTAGTTGGATTCCCTTTCCTATTCCAAGAGGGGGAAAGGAGGGAAGGAAGAAGGAGAGGGAAAGGAAAGAGGGGGCCGCACCCCCTCCCCCTAGTCCAATTTGGACTGCCCTTGGGGGGGGTGGCACCACCTTGTGCCCTTCCCTCTCCTACTCCCTTATGGCCCATTAGGGCCCATAACTTCCCCGGGGGGTTTCGGTAACCCCTCGGTTCCCCGATAAATATTCGAAACATCCCGAAACCTTTCCGGTGTCCGAATACCTTCGTCCAATATAGCAATCTTTACCTCTCGACCATTTCAAGACTCCTCGTCATGTCCGTGATCTCATCTGGGACTCCGAACAAACTTCAGTCATCAAATCACATAACTCATAATACAAATCGTTATCGAACGTTAAGCGTGCGGACCCTACGGGTTCGAGAACTACGTACACATGACTGAGACACATCTCCGGTCAATAACCAATAGCGGAACCTGGATGCTCATATTGGCTCCTACATATTCTACGAAGATCTTTATCGGTCAAACCGCATAACAACATACGTTATTCCCTTTGTCATCGGTATGTTACTTGCCCGAAATTCGATCGTCGGTATCATCATACCTAGTTCAATCTCGTTACCAGCAAGTCTCTTTACTCGTTCGGTAATGCATCATCCCGCAACTAACTCATTAGTCACATTGCTTGCAAGGCTTATAGTGATGTGCATTACCGAGAGGGCCCAAAGATACCTCTCCGATACTCGGAGTGACAAATCCTAATCTCGATCTATGCCAACTCAACAAACACCATCGGAGACACCTGTAGAGCATCTTTATAATCACCCAATTACGCTATGACGTTTGATAGCACACAAAGTGTTCCTCCGGTATTCGGGAGTTGCATAATCTCATAGTCAGAGGAATATGCATAAGTCATGAAGAAAGCAATAGCAATAAAACTAAACGATCATTATGCTCAGCTAACGGGTGGGTCTTGTCCATCACATCATTCTCTAATGATGTGATCTCGTTCATCAAATGGCAACACATGTCTATGGTTAGGAAACTTAACCATCTTTGTTTAACGAGCTATTTAAGTAGAGGCATACTAGGGACACTCTGTTTTGTCTATGTATTCACACATGTACTAAGTTTTCTGTTAATACAATTCTAGCATGAATAATAAACATTTTATCATGATATAAGGAAATATAAATAACAACTTTATTATTGCCTTTAGGGCATATTTCCTTCAGCTCGGTCTGGTGGTGGGACATCGAATAGCTCGGTGCGGTGTGTGGCAACAACGGGCGATGGTGAATCCGGCGACGGGACGACGCGACGGTCCGATTTGGGCGATGTGGCGGTTGTCGATTTGGATGGATTCGACCGCGGCGCCAACAAGAAGGGGGAGGCGGCTGGAGGGTGAGGAAATTTCACTCGGCAGTTGTCATGCACGCGGTTGCGGGGAGGCTGTGATTTATGTTTATGGCCGCGCGGCGATGTAAATTTACATCACTTGGAGGGGTTTTTTGGGCTGCAAAACTGGGACCACATAACTTTACATTTAGGGCATTTGTTGGAGAAACAAATTTGAACCCAAATGCCCTAAATCAGTTTTTTGGGCAGCTGATGTAAATACATCATCTGTTGGAGATGCTTGAAGTTGGACAATTTGAAACGAAAATGTACATGTATTCCTTTACAAGAGCATCCCACCACTCATTCTTCTTAGTATCTTAATATAAAAAAGGGCCAAGCTTTGGTCACCAGGGTGCAAAGTTAGGGACAATTATATTTTCTTTATTTTCTTTTGCGGCGGAGGGACACTTCTAGTTGTAAGGGGGTCTTTGTAACACAAACTTTATTCTCTTCTTAATAAATGAATGAGACAAAGCTAATGTCTGTGTTATTTAAAAAAAAAACTGCAAAATCTGTCGTCCTTACAATTCAATTTAACTGTCATGCGTAAGTAGGCTTTGTAAATTTCAACAAATCCATGGTTATCTATTATTACTCCATCATGTGGGATATACTATCCTGCCCTAGCAAAGCTAACAAGACAGGTTACTAGTTGCCCTTCTTCGCCGACATTGTGGCCCGAGCTCCCATTCATCATTCCATGGATCAAATCCATGACGAGGACGCCCGTTGTTGGGGTCGACTTCTTACTTTGTCAGAACCAACCCCGTGGGGTCGTAGGAGGATGGTTGTACTTTCAGCTCACGAGGTATCAAACTATATGTTTGGCATTTATGTGTCTAGTAAAGACAGAATGTTTTCTCAGTAGAAGACGATGTTTTCGCTAATAGTGGGACGCCCATGATGACTTTGTCAATCTTAATACCCTTCAGATCAGTCTCTCGGACGTGTCAATCTTAATACCCTTCGGATCAGTCTCTCGGACATGCTCACACGGGTTGGGCGAGCGTGCATGTGTTCATAGTAGCGGGTGTCTGTATCACGTTTCTCAAAAAATAAAAATAAATCTTAGCCTGTTGGCAGTGGACCATCCGGTTCACCCCTCTCATATGATCATGCTCACGCTCACAACTTGGATCTAGGAGCATCACAATGCCGCTGTCTTAGACATCAAATATTCTGTAGATCAGGCAAGACGAGAACTAGGCCTGAACAAACACATCTGATCTGATCATAGAGAGCCATACCACACGCTACATTTTCCAGAAACTACTACGTTCTGCTCCAGAATATCTAACTAAATCCAGCACACAAGCAAGTTCCATCAAACCAGAGTCCCTTCTCCCTCGTCATGCGTAGCCAGCCATGCCGACATTGGCGGTGGCCTTGTTGGTCTTTTTGGCGGCCTGGCGCGTCGATTTCGTGTAGTACATGTAGAAGTACACGTTCAGGGTCATGGTGAGCACCACAAAGACCGCCCCCGAGATGAACACCCCTTTCCGGAGCGAGTCGCAGGTCCAGCTCCCTGCGTATATCATGTGCCTGTACTTGGTGTGGTACGCGTTCTTTGTCGCCCCGGCGATCAGGCAGGACTCGGCGATTATGAATGTGATCCTGATGATGTGCACGTAAATGCTCGTTACATATTAAAGGGTAACATAACTTGGGCAGTGAAAGAAAAGAATTGTTTTCTGTGGGCATAGGAATTACCATGAAGAAACAAAGTAGATAATGGACCAGGCTCTGCTTCCACCAGGTGCGAGCGGTTGGCCAAAGCACATGCACTTTGTAACTCCCATAAGGAGTGATTGGCCCGAGAGGAGAAACAGGAAGGCGCCGACACCATAGCCGGTAGAAATATCGGAGTCATAAGTGCAATATGTGGAGTTGTTGATGTCTGTGACTATCGAACCCTGTTGTGACAAGAAAGTAAGTGATAAGTTATTCATGACCAGCAGAAGTATAGAACAGGCAGAATCTAATCAAGGGCGAAATAGACCAGGATGCTGCAACCAAACATCCAGGTCATTTACCTCGCATAAAGCTTGCTAAAAATAATTGAAACTTTTGCTGTAACTGACATAGTTAGCTGCCAATGGTTATCGGTTGTCGATAAGAAGAATTGACATGTAAATAAAAACAGAAACACTTCGACTATTTGGTATCACCAAATGAAAAAAAAAACTGTTCAAAGTTAACTACTACTGATAAGATTATCAGCTGATTATATGTACAGAAAGTATCTGTCATGCCACTGCGGAAGATCAATCTGCCATTCAAGTCCAGCCCGTTTCCTCTCCACCATGATCCACGGATTAGCTCCTCCATGGGCCAAATAAGAAATCTTCTTAAGGTAGATGCCCTTGAATATGGTGGACTAGACCTCACAAAGCCTCGGCTAATATATACACTTCATTTCAATACAGAAGAATCTATGTTTGAACCAATGATTGTAGCTGAGATGAGCAGATTGACTACTACCTTCTAGATTAACATTAAGGATGAGATGGGTAGAGTTCTTCCTACGTGGACAGTGAGCTGTTTGATTTGCAGGTTTGCATCCCACATGATTTTTTCCAACTGATTCATTTGCACTACAGTCATAAGAATTTTCCAATTACCTCGACCCTTTTGGGCAGGTTCCTTTTTTTTAGAACAAAGATCATTTAAAATGATCAAACACCCGGATTACATTCAGCTTGTGAAAGATCTCTGAATTCACTAGGTTCCTTTATTTTTCCGAGGCCGCAATCGAACAACTTTTGGTGCAAATTCAATCATGCAGAATTCAAGTGGGCATGATATTGCACCTAAATGTTCCCTATTATCGCGTTACTGGAAATCAAAGACGCCAAATATATAGAAACCAAACTTGTTTAGAGATGGGACGATTTGGGTTCAAATCTTTACAGCCTGAACGAAATACAAGTACGTACAAAAAGTTCCCAAAGCAATCCAATCCACATCACCCAAACAGTAAGTATAGCTTAGAATTTCCTGCGTTTCCCACCGGAGCAGTGAACGGTTGAACCTGAACGCTCGTAGCCGAGCAAATACTAGTAACTCGTGCTGGATGAGAAACTTGATTTTTTTTCAAAAGAAATAAACAGCAGTTTTTAATGACTATATCGACAAATCTGGGCTGGGCTCGCCCGCTTCCGATACACCCCATTTATCGCCAAACCCAGATAGATATGTGCTCAAACAAAATCTAATCGAACTTTTCTCCACCAACCAACCGACGGCAGGAATGCCCTACGCAAGAACCCTCGGTGGTTCAGACAGAATCGCAGATGATCTACGCCCGGGCTCTCGGGATCCCTCCGATCCAGAGACGCGCGGCGGCCGGGGGCACTTGCAGGAAGAGAGAAGGACGCGTACAGTACCGTGCTGCGGCGGCGCTCTGCGGCGATGGCGAAGCCGAAGGCGGTGAGGCAGAGGGCGATCACCAGAATGTGCACCAGCAGAGAGCTCCAGCTCCTCGTCTCCCCCATCTCCCGTTCGCTCTAGCGTCTCCCCGCTCTGGAGCCCGGATGCTGTGAGAGTGAGAGTGGGAACGAGGGGGCCGCCGCCGCCTGGGGATGGGGAAAGAAGGCGAAGTGTGAGTGAGTGAGTGTGAGTGTGAAGAGGAGCGGGGAGTGGAGGACTGATGAAAGGGGCGGTCTGGCGGGCCCACGTCCGCAAAGGAGAGAAGGAAACTGCGAGGAATCCGCCGAGTGGAGTGGGAATCGAACAAATAAAGAGACAGGGGTCTGGTCTTGGGGAGGGAGGGAGCCCACACCTCGTCTTTTCGTGCCACCGGTTTGGGGTTTGGGACGCTCACTCGAAATGACGATACTGCCCTTCACCAATCATGGAGCTGCTTGATCGGTCGGGAGTGAATTTGTAGCACGCACAAGGGCGATGACGTGTAAATTATGGGTTGTTGGTCTAAATCAAGATTTTTTTTTGAGGATCGGTCTGAATCAAGATTTGAAAAATCGTTTTCACATATAGCCTTTTGGTCTTGTATATCTGGGTATAATGCAACTGTAAATCGAGTCGGTATACCTGTCCTTATGGGGCCATGTAAGGTAGTCTAACATGGGTTTACTAAATCTAACATAGACAAGTAGCAGAGGTGAGCAGTGGCGGAGCCAGAAAAAATCGATCGAGGGGGCCAAGTGATGGTGAATCAGATTGGGGAGGGCCAAACCATTAAAAGAGAGGCATTTAGCAGCAACTAATGACTAAATTTACACTGTTCACAAGCAAATTATCAACAAATCTTGGATGTTAGGGGGGCCAGGGCCCCTGCTGGCACCCCTGTCTCCGCCACTGGAGGTGAGCAAAACGATTCATTCCGATCATTCCTTATGCTCTTCTTGTTCCTTGTTGTATCTTCTTCTAGTCCCCTCTCGTCTTACAAGAACAACCATCCTCAAGCAAGATTTTTTCCGGTTCTTGTTATTCCCATCGACTGAAGTGCGTCATGATAGCAACAATAGTAGTAGAGTTGTATCCAAAAATTTTGCTAACAAGGTTTGTTGTTCTTGTATTTCTTGTCCGTAGCTGTTTGTATTTGAAGAGATCTTTAAAGTGATATACTTGTTAAATCTCATCGTTGATGTTTTTGTTGTGGCTATATATCATTTTACTGGCTTGTTCAGTTTGTAATACCTATTTGTTGGACATATTAATTCTCTGTGCGATGAAATATTACTATGTTGAGACTTATGGATGCACTGTTTGACTGATGCACTGTATTTTCCTGATGTTTATTTCTATGTACTCAAGTGTGCCAAATCACTAGACATAAATCAGAATATCTAGTTGTATGTTATGAGATGTTATCTTAGATGACGTGCATCACTAATATATAGCTCTCCATGGTAGAACATTTCGAAAAATAAACACTGCCAATTAAGCACCACAACATGGTTTCGTAGCGTGCATCACCAAGAACCCAACATATGAAGTCATGAAGCCAATTAAGCAACACAAAATGGTTTCTGTTCATCGTACCGTTGGGCCCCTTACCTACTGTCATGTATTGGTCAATTAAATTAACAGGGTAATTACTCAAACATGGGGACGACAATCATCATGTTGAAAATCATGACAGGCTTGGATTGCAGATTCAAGTAATACAAGTAGTGATCCACAAGAGTTGGTATTACATATTTCTAGCGGCAGACATTTAAATATAGAGAATTAATATGAAAACTCCTACCTACTCCTTTTTGCATGGGCGGCTTGGTTAGGTGAATTCCTCGGTCACTTCTGTTAGCCACACGAGAGGGTCTTTGGTGGCCATGCCCATAGCGGACATTATCTCCGGTAGCTCCTCCGTGTTGGCTTTGTTGAATGTGTGCTCCTCTGCTTCCTCCTCGGCTCTCCATGCCTCTGTCGCTAGGATCATCTCTTTGTCTGACTAGACAACATAGGTTGCGATCTTCTCAGTGGCATCCTGCTCCTTGTCTTCCCGCGCGAGGGCGGAATGGCTATCGTCAAAGTTGCCTTCTTTGAAGGCGTACTTCTTTGCTTCGTCTTTGACTGCTTCCGCCTCTAGGATTGTTTTTTCTCCAATGAGACACCGTGAGATACAATATTTTTGGTGTTGTCCTCCTCCGTTTTAGAGAAAAGGCATGAAGCTCGATTTCAAATTAATGAAGCCATCAACCGGCTAGGATACATAGGAGCTGATTACGATTACAAGGCCAAAGCTTGACAAAAAACTGAAAGATACAGGTAGGTCGTGCTTGAGACCAGGAGCTACATGTAGCACACGGACAAATGCCAATGCCCACACTATGGAAACAGAGTCAAGCCACCGGAACGCCCAATGCAGCAAGAACAACAGAGCAGAGGCCAACCGGACACACCAAAGGACGGAGATGGGAGAGGCTGAACCGCATGAAGAAACATTCGACTCCGTCGTCGACCTAAGGGAGCCAATGTTGGAGAGAGATCACAGTCACCTCTTCGTCCATGCCGTGCCACTACACGAGGACGTCTTACACCGGCCAACGACCCACGAGGGCACCAGACAGAATCCGTTGAAGGATTGCGGGCCAGCCAACTCGCCTCCCACACCACCGACGGCCAAGAGAGCAACGCACCATCGCTGCCACCACCCACCAAACACCACAGCCGCCACCTTCGCCCAACCCTAGAATGACGCCTCCAAGGAGGACCATGCCGCTGAAATGCCATCGTCGTTCGACCCAAAAGGCCAAGGTTTTCACCTGGGAGCACGGGGAAGGAAGAGGGGTGGCAGGATCCAGATGCTCAACGCGCCCATAAGAGGGGACCAGCGCAGGGGCGCCGACGCGAAGTAGATCAGGGGTTTCCCCCGATTCGGAGCTCCCGCCAGCCCACACCCAATAGCCAGATCTGGTCGGATGGGCTGCAACAAGGGGAGGGGCCAGGATCCAGATCCGGCGGAGCCACCGGATCCTCTCGCAGCCACGAAGGGCCTTTGCCGCCCACACGGTCGGAAGGGACAACCAGCTCTCGCGGCGCCATCCACCGGCAAGATTCGCGTCGCCATCTTCACCCCGGGCCGCCCCCCGACTTTCGGAGCTCCCTACGATGAGACAGGGCTGCCAAGCCTCACCGCCACCTTCATCGGAGGCCGCATGCTACTTCTGAACTGCGTTGGGATTTCCCGAAAGAGGAGAGGATGATGCAGTACAATAGAGATAAGTATTTCCATCAGTTAAGAACCAAGATTATCGATCCAATAAGAGAACCAAACAACACTTCGTTAGCAGCACCTGCACACAAACAACAAATCATTGCAACTCAATGCAAAAAAGGGGTTGTCAATCCATCGACGGTTACGAGCAAGATTAAACTGTATGGTCTATGGTGATAGATAGACAGATCAAACAAAAATATAAAATGAAATAAACAAAGGAAAAAACACGACAATGTATTTTTGGTTTTAATATATGATAAAAGTAGACCCGGGGGCCATAGTTTTCACTAGAGGCTTCTCTCTTGAAAATATCATATGGTGGGTAAACAAATTACTGTTGGGCAATTGATAGAAAAGCAAATAATTATGACGATATCCAAGGCAATGATCATATATAGGCATCACGTCCGAGAAAAGTAGACCAAAATGATTCTGCATCTACTACTATTACTCCACACATCGATCGCTATCCAGCATGCATCTAGAGTACTAAGTTCATAAAGAACAGAGTAACGCCTTAAGCAAGATGACATGATGTAGACAAAGTAAACTCACATATGAATAAACCCCATATTTTTATCCTTAATAGCAATGATACAATACGTGTCATGTCCCCTTCTGCCACTGGGATTGAGCACGACAAGATCGAACCCATTACAAAGCACCTCTCCCATTGAAGATAAATCAATCTAGTTGGCCAAACCAAATCAATAGATCGAAGAGAAATATGAAGCTATAGTAATCATGCATAAAATATTTCGAAGAAAACTCAAATAATATTCATGGATAGATCTGATCATAAACTCACAATTCATTGGATTGCAACAAACACATCGCAAAAAGTTATTAAATCAAATAGATCTCCAAGAACATCAAGGAGAACATTGTATTGAGGATCAAAGAGAGAGAAGAAGCCATCTAGCTATTAACTATGGACCCGTAGGTCTGCGGTAAACTACTCATGCATCATTGGGAGGACAGTAAGGTTGATGTAGAGCCCCTCTGTGATAGATTCCCCCTCCCTCAGAGTACCGAAGACGGCCTCCAGATGGGATCTCGTGGTTCTGGAACTTGCGGCGGCAGAAAAAGTATTTCGGGTGGCTCTCTAATGTCAGGTGAATACTGGAGTATTTATAGAGGTGGAATTAGGGTTGGAGGTGCCACGAGGGGCCCACAAGACTAGGGGCGCCCCCCTGGAGTGCCCCCTAGGGCTTGTCGCTTCCTCGTGGCTCTTTCGGCCTTCCCCCGAACCTTCTAGGGTCTCTTCTAGTCCAGAAAAAATTAATCCAAAGTTCTCCATTTGGACTCTTTTTGATATTCATTTCCCGAAAAGCCAAAAGCATGCAAAAAATAGCAACTGACACCAACACTAAGTTAATAGGTTAGTCCCCAAAAATGATATATAATGACATATAAAACATCCAAGATTGATACTATAATAGCATGGAACAATCAAAACTTATAGATACGTTGGAGACATATCAAGCATCCCCAAGCTTAATTCCTGCTCATCCTCGAGTAGGGTAAATGATAAAAATAGATTTTTTGATGTGGAATTCTACCTATCACATTCATCATATAATCTTTTCTTTTGTAGCATGGATATTTGGACTTGAGTGATTCACAGCAATAGTCTATAGTTTGACATGAAAACATAAATACTCAAGTATACCAACAAGCAACCATGTCTTTCAAAATATCAACGCTAAAGAAAGTTATCCCTAGCCAATTATGCTCAGTCATTGATCCATTCATGAAACACACTCAACATTAGCTACATTCAATGCACAAGTATGACAACAATGCTCTCTA